CTAGACTTCCCTGTATTTTCTATCTCTCTGATGCTAACCTAATTTTTTTTAACTTTTAGGCTTTTAAAAATATATGTAAAAATAATCTCACGCTAAACTGATATTTAGCATATCTAAATATCCATGCTTACTTAATCAGTACCATCTCTTTCTTTTAATTAAAATCTTTGTCATGGAAACAATATTCCCTTATATTGTGCATCTTTCCTGTGTATTTCTGAAACTCAGGGTAGGGGGGTCTAGAAAACTGTCTTCCACTCCAGATTGGTTATGGCCTATGTACCTTATTATTGGCAGAACTTTGAAGAGTACAGATGCTCTGGTACCACTTTAATGTTACTAAATCAGAATTCCAATGATCCACAGATACTACTGAGGCACAAAGATTGCTTCTTTCTGTTTCCTGTAAGTCTTTACAAGAGACAATTTGAGATTTTTTTGCTGCTAAAACAAAAGGAGAACACACTCAATGGATGAACTTATTATTGATGGGTACTGAGGTGTCTGGAATTATTGGAAATTCTGACTGCAGAGGTGTTAGGGTTGCAGAATTCCAAAAAGAAGATAAGAGACAGCCACCAATGCTTGCTTCTTTTGCTAATAACTTTTCCTAATTGAGTCTTTGGGGAGGAAGGTGTTTAATATGTCATGCTATTGAGAAGAAAGGAATGCAGACTGCTGTGAGATTTGAAAAAATACTCTAATAAAAGAAAAACATTGTTAATTTCCTTTCGCTGAGGCAGGCTTGAGATAGAGCCAGCTTGCTTCCACAGTGTTGCTGACAATCATGACATCAAAAATGTTTTAAGATTCTGAAAACCAAACTAGCCTCTGTGTTTTCTACCTTTCCTTCCTTCCTTAAGATTCTGGAAGCTATGAAAAAGAAAAAAAAATAGAGGTGGGGGGCATAAAAGAGGAAGCTCATTTCTAATTACCGTTGCTGTCTTGGTTAAATGACATCACCCCATAATGTGTACCATATCTTACAGAATTCCACTCAGGGTTTCAATTGCAAATGCCACAGTGAATGAGATATTACCAGTAAAATAAAATTTGAGAACCTTTAATAAACATTAATCCAAGCTGCCAATGTTAAGTATAACCAGGGTTCATATACTTCGGTGGTTAATTCAACTTCAGATACATAATTACAGATCCACATATTGCTGAATATCATGGCCATGAGGTGATTAGATTAAGTTTAACAAAAATAATTAGAAAGAACAAGATGAAGGGGAAATAAATGATATAGCAAATAGAGCTAAAGTAATGGGCAATTCTATCAAATAAAATCAAGTATAGGAATGAGCTCCTTTTAGACATATGGCAATCCTATAAATAAACCTATGGCCTTATCTCTCTTAAGTGATTAGAAATTCTGTAGTCATCTACCTAATCACTGAATCTATCCTGTAACTAAGCTGTTTATCCTCTGATTTTTATTTTTTACTTTGGAGCTTCAAATTGAATAGGAGTTCCACTGAACTTAAAGTCCTGAGCCTATACTTCTAAAGATTCGCCTCGGATATCTGATATCATGGAATGGAGAAACAGCATGTAATCAAAATACATGATGTCAGACTTCAGAGTTTTAAATTTGGTAGGGGCACCAATTATGTGCCACAGGCCTGAGCAAGTTTTTAAACCTCTGTCAGCCTCAGGATTTTTCTTCTGTAAGATGGTATTAACAGTGCTTAATTCCCAGGATTTCAGAGACTAAATGAAATAATTCTAATTGAGTGCTACTCAGTAAACAAATGTGCCTTCCCTGTCTATCCTTCCTTATGGTAGATTAGCGAATCTGAGAATCTTCATAATTATTTGCCAAGTCAGTTTGCATCCCTCCATTAGAAGTGGCAAGTAATTGATGAATCCTATTTTTAGTGCTTTTCCCCTTGAGAGAAAGAGAGGGAGTGCTTCAGTCAAGAATAAGCATAAATTACATGGCATCACTCAAGATTAATTCAGAACATTTATAGTAGTTATATGATCTGTCATCATGTGTTAGTACTCAGCAAGAGAAAACTGGACTGGAAAATTAGCAAGGTTGAAGGTGAAGAATAAAGTGCCCCAGTTAACACATGCAGGCCCTGGGAACACTAGTTATCTGGAAAATTTGTAGCTTGAAAATGTTTGCATTTCTAAAAGAAAAACATTTATAATGATGGTGAGGATAGCTAAGAGAGAAAAGAGAATGGATGAATTTGCACTTTAAGAAAACTGAAATTTATCATAGAAGTATTTTATAACTTTTGAATTATTTCCATTTTTAGATCACTCCTATAAATTCACATATATTCAAGCATATATATATATTTATATATGACCCAACGAACTATTCTGACACCCTAAAAACTTACCTAAAGATTTGTGAACCCTCTCTTTTCTTTGCCATTCCTTGAGGATTAACCTATAGACTGGTCTTTAGGAGGTAGAATATGAATATTCAGAATTTTTCATGCTATAAATTTAGCAATTTTAAGCCTGCAGAGGGCTCCCTGCTTTGACATGATTCTATATATGCAAAGTCCAGCACAAACTGTTGGTAAGGAACCAAAGTAAGGTTTAATGTTTGTTATGGGCTTAAGTATTTGCTCTAACTGTGTTAAATTAAGTTTAAAAAGATGAATGAAGCAAAGCCGAGTCTCTACTTCTGACGCTTGAGATATAATTTGTTAATTGTTTCATCATGCAAAATTTAATCTTCCTCTACTTTACCAGTCTGAAAACCAAATGTGCTTTAATTTTGTATCATGAGTCCGCATAGACACCTGCTGTCTGATTCTTCTAACAGTTTTATATTTCTCTCTGTTCAGAGCTTAAATAACACACTGCCTACCTATCTATCTATCTATCTATCTATCTATCTATCTATCTATCTATCTATCTATCTACCTACCTACCTATCTACCTATCTACCTGTTTATTTATTTATAACACATTTTAAAGATGAGACTGACCAGCTGATCAGTGTCTTAAACCTGGAGATGAATATAGGCAAAGCTCAATGAAGAACAGCATTGTTTCAGTGTTTATAATTGTGATTACAGTAGGCCCCCTTCTCTGCAGGGGATACATCCCAAGACTCCCAGTGGATGCCGGAAACCACAAATAGTACCGAGCCCTATATATAGTATGCTTTGTCTTATACATACAAACCCATGATAAAGTTGAATTTATAAATTAGGCACAGTGAGAGATTAACAATAACTAACATAAAGTAGAACAATTATAACAATATAGTGTGATAAAAGTTATGTGAGTGTGGTCTCTCAAAATATCATATTATACTGTACTCAACCTTCTCCTTCTTGTGATGTGAGAAGATGAAATGCCTACCTGATGAGATGAAGAGAGGCAAACGGCATAGGCATTGGGATGTAGCGTTAGGCTACTGCTGACCTTCTGACAGTACATCAGAAGGAGGGTCATCTGTTTCCAGACCATACTTGAGTGCAGGTAACTAAAACCATAGAAAATGAAACTCTGGATAAGGGTGCACTGTTGTACTTAAATTGTGCATTTAAATCTTTTTTTTTTTTTCACTCTTCATCTCTCTATTTCCTTGTAATTTATTTTTTGGAAAAAAAAGAACAAGAAAAAAACAGCATTTAAATCTAAGAAATATCGGAAGAAGGGAAGAAAAAAATTCCAACTGTTTTCAACACCTCCTGCCATTTTGAACCTTATTCTGCTTATTCCTGTCAGTTCTTACCTAATAAAATACTCAGCAGATTTTTCCAATCCCAGTGAATAATGTCCACACAACACTTAGAACGTATTTATTTAGAAAGGTTTATTAACATTATTGTGACAATTTAAAATACAGTTATCTCCCAGTTTTTTGAAATTCTGCATGAATTAAGCCACCTCAGTTTTACGAAAGACCTATATTAGTACCCATTTTCCCAACCAATAAGAACATGAAGAGAATTTCTGCTTCTGTGAAAAAGAGTGAAGAGTAAAAATAGCATTCAGCATTTGTTTTGCAGTGAGCAGTTCTAGAGGCCACACATACCTCGAGCAGTGAGAGCGGCCGCGTCAAGCTCCTTCCCGGGGAAATACCCTCAGCCTCTCAGCACCAACCTGCCAGAGCTTTGAACTGTGTCTTTGAGCGTCTGTGCTTTATTCTGATTTATTTTTCTTCACCCATTAGCAACATTAGTCTCAAGGTATCAGAACAACCTATGAGAGATTTTTTAGGGGGTCTGGGAATGCTCAAAATTTTTCCATATAAATGAATGGTTAATTGCTTTTTCACTTTACACCATTTTGGCTTATGAAAGATTTCATAAGAAGGCTCTATTTCAGATAACAGGGGAAACCTGTAACATGGAATTACAGGCTTCTGAAATTATAGGTTTATGAAAGATCTGATTTTTTTTGTAAAAGTGAAAATTTCTTCCAGTTAGTGAAAACAGGTACTATTGTAGGTCTTTCATAATGCATAAAGTGAAGCATAACGCAAACTTTTGAAAAGCAGGGGATACGTGTACTGCATGCTCTTCAAATTGCCAAAACAAACAGATCAAACATATTAGACATCGGTACTAACTGTTGAATACACATACTCTGACAAATTCTCTTCATTTTCATTTCAGTGATGTCTTTTTCAGAAAGTAGCTCCTTAGGTTATGTGGTTTTCAAAGGTAAATATAGACTTAGGCAGACAACTAATGTAACACATTTTTATGAGAACAAATATTTATCTAAGTACAATTTTAGCAAACAGAAGTTGTCAAAAAATGCAAATTAAATCTTCGTTCTTTTTAAGTTTTCCCTTCCTTTTCTTATACTCATTGACTTTGATGCTACCAGTAAATATAACATCATTGTATTTGAAATTACTTGATTTAACCCTAGCAATAAAGGAAAGGAACTGCAGTGGACTTTGATTTTAGTAGAAAACAACAAATATGGAAAGCAAGCATAAGTAAATAAGCATATTTACCTTTAATTAAAGAAATGGTTCATATAATCATTATATAATTATATTTCCAGAGGCAATCATAATATACTGTGGTTGTAGACAACTGACTAAAACCAAAGAATTGAATACAAACTTATTTCCAAGGGCCGAAGGCAAGTTCTTTCATGCTTCTGACTCCCCAGAAAGCAATGCAGATGGAAAAAAAAATCTGAAGAAATAAAATACAAAGAGGAAAAGCAGTTAAAATTGAATCAATACTTTTGTTCAACTGCGTTAAAAATATCTTTGCGGGGGAAAATGAACAAGAACATTTTAGACAGTTAAATTAATCAAATTGAATTTAGCAGTTGTTCACTGATAAGAGTTTAGCCAACACAACTTAAAAAGCGTTACATTTGAGACAGGAGTGGGAGTAAAAAGTTTTGGTTTTGTTGCTTTTAATTTTTATACTCCCAAATCTGGGTCATTTCTTGGGATGGGACTGTGAAAGTTAGATACTGCATGAGCCAGAACTTTCCTCTGGCATCTGGGCATACTGTATGGAGAATGTACTGTATGAAATGATCTCATTGTTTATATAGTTTAAGAAGCATTTGGAAAAGGAGAAATAAAAACATTATGAAGAATCATTCCTCTCTGGGGCAATGCGATCTAACCTGTTATGAACTTTACACAACGTGAACTAAAGGTTAATCACCACTGCTGATTTACCTTCTCAGTCTGTTGATCTTACCAGGTATAAAAAAATGTACTACAAAATTCTCTTTAAAATCAATGACATAGCTGTCATAATAAGCAGCCATCAGAGTTCATTGAGTTTACTTTCTTTCTTTCAAGTAACATCACACATTTCCAATAAATCACCCAAAATTAGCCACATAAAACTCTTGATTTCTGATGATCTTAGCAAGAACATTTATAAGAATTCATGGTTGTAGAATTTTTTATTATGCATAATCTAAATGCCATAATGCCATAACACATGTATTTTCTCTTGAGGTAAAATCCAAGCATGAGTCCTGATCTTTATGCCTCAGAGCCCTCCTAAGCCAACCCTTCCATTTACTCTTACCTGTGTACTAAAATTTAACTCTAAGATTGCTTTTATGATCTCCATTTCAGGTGTTACTGGTATGACGATGGAAAAGAGTAACACCCCCAAAAAACGGGGTGATCGGGATAGCTGTGCAAGTATCTCTCCATATATGTATTTTTTTAATTGTGCAAACCTCTCCCAACTACAAAAATATGACCAGGTCTTCTCCCCAGGAAGAAGATCACTATTTGTGAAAGATCCACAAAAATATACAAAGAAGCACATTTAGTAATAAGATGGAGCCTTGAGGAACATTCTGGGGTGACGGACTTGGGAGATGCCAAGGGCATTAACTGAGGCCAGCCATCAATTTAAAGAAAATAGCTTGAATTGTGGTTATTTTGCAATGAAAGCCTGAATATAAAAACAAGAACACCACCACCACCACCTTCCTAAACACTGATATTTAGATTTTACAGGTGGGTTGTTCAGTTTCATATGAACCTTATGGTTCTTTCTAGAGAACCGTTATGCTTCACATTAGCCAGTCTGCAGTTTTCTTCAAATACATGCATTCCTTTCAGCCTATAATATGCACAATATAAAAAAATATATATCAAAAATAAAATCAGCAGTTATATTGAAGCAGAAGTCAAGAATAATATTAACATTATGGAGTTGCCTCAAAAATCAAATACAATATATTTAAAGGCTGGTTTTGATTTTGTTTCTTTTGACTGTAATTCAAGAAAAATGACTTCATGGGATTTCTCATGATGGTGCCAAGCAAAATAACACCAAGGTGGGGAGTATTTATGAAGGCCCTTTGTGCAATGAATTGCATTAGTCTATGAAGATGGGTAATGTTGACAGGGGACTAGCTGCAAAGACAACTTTCCAATGGGACAGAGATGATAAATGCATAATATCAGCATAAATATTCCATTCAATCCATAATATTCATTGAGCAACTAACAGATACCTTGTGTTGTGCAAGGTAGTGGAACCTGAAATATATTTGGCAACTAAAGTTTTTATTAGTTTTGAGTTTAGTGTTTAGGGTCACAAGGATTCCATGGGTGAAGCCTAGGGAGAATGAAACTGCTAAACTGTTTGTAAAATTTTGCTAGGGTATCATGATTCTCCTCTTCCCTACTCCCCACCCACTAGACTATCCATACTTTCATCTGGGATCCCAGAAATATTAAGAACTTCTGATCTAAGAACAGAATGAAAAAAAAATTAAAATTCAGTTCATGCCTCTGTGGTTAATCCACAACTTCACAATTAAATCTTTCCACTTTTGAAACTATAATTCAAGTCCTATTTTCTTAAGGGTCCATCCCTAACTAAAACACAATTGCCTTTTCCAGTGATCTAAAATGCTTTTAGCTTCCTACCCAAAAATGCAATGTTGGACAGTTTGTAGTTTTATTTTGTTTCTCTGTTTTTGTTTTTTGGGGTTTTTTTTTTGCCCCTATATATTACCTCTTTAAAAAGATGGGGTGAAAAACTGATGAAGCATAGAAGTCCAGTTCAGGTTCAATGTTAATGTGCAGTGAGACCCTTGCTTAAACTAGCCTTTGTCTTAGGTGCCTTATTGGATTATAATGTTTAATGCTCATTACAAACCTTGGTAGATTGGTACCCAACTTGCTCATGCGGTGATGGGAATTTAGAATTTATGGGGTTTACCAAGAAATCACAAAACTACTAAATATCAGAGCTGGGATATGTTCTTATGTTTATGTAGAATCTCCCAGAAAAATCTAACTGCACATCCTAGGAAAGCAGTTCAGTGACTCTGTGCATCAGTAGGGAATCATTTCCTCTTTTTTTTGTAGCCCCCTGTACTTGCCTAATGATTTTTGAGTCAGTAACTGCTAGGTTTCTGACACTTTTCACAATCAACATTTTAAGCATAAATTGGAGTTTTTATATATAATGAAATCCAGAATGGCATAGAATCATAGAAACTAATACAATGAATATGCCCTTCTCAAAATACGCATGATCCTGAAATAGTTACTCGATTTCATTAGAAAATAGTTAAGTAGGAAAAAATAGATTTGCTCTTATATTTTTGTAAGTGTATCTGTGTGTAATATATATGTATATGTATATATATATATTTTAGACATAAATGTATATTTCACATATAATTTTACATAAATTTCACATAAAATTTTAAGGAGTCAATAAAACCAGTTGATTATTGATTGCAGTCATTCCATTTTAAATTTTCTCTTGTCCGAAACTTCTCTTGATCTTTGTATCAACTTGTCCATTTTAGTTTGCCATAATTGATTAGATTAAAAGCATCATTTGAAATAGTTGTTCGTTAACATATTTCCCAACCAAGTATTTGTTCAAGGAAGGCAGAAGAATTACTGCTTAGGCCGGTGCAAGAATAAATGGCACCTAAAGCAGGTTTTTTTGCAACATTCTTCTCTAATCATAGATACAATGTTTCTGAATATGTACAAACTCAATGAACGCTTATTTTATCCTAGGTTTGGGCAAGTCCCAAGATTTTAACAGCTGGATTCAAAATATGAAACGGAGGAAGTTCACTCTTGGTGTCAAGTCCTGCTTGAGCTAACACATCATTAGTGGCTCCTGTCTTCAGGCTATTTCCTTGACTTCCCAGGCCCCTAGACTCTGATGCCTGAACTTTGGCCTGTACAGATGCTCTCCCCATTTCCTCCACCCCTTTCCAAAAAAAGTGCATCAATTGACAGGTGGCTAATCTGAGCCACTAATCCATACTGAAACACCAGTGGGAACCGATATTTTATTCTGCTGCCCTCACTGTTATGTCTGTGTTTTAAGAGGTCTTATAAAACATGGCTCTACTTATGAGCAAATCAGACATCTAATCTTAAGGGAGACAGAATAGTATCAGAAGAGGTATTTATGTGCATATGCCATCTCCTCAAACTGCAATCTCTCAAATTACAAAGCTAGTGGATTGTTCTTACACCTATATACATATCTGTCTTGGTTGGTTTGAGTCCACCTACTTCTGTGTATTAATAAATGACCTGAGGTGCAAATAAAATATCATCTTAGGTAGTGGATAATTTCCAGTAGAACTAGCTAGCAACACCCCACACGTCTCAAATCATTTAACCTTCAGTAAATTGGCAAATGAAATGAAAGTTTTAAAGTACTTGAAAAATTACCCACAGGAGAAACTAAATCTCTGAAATAGGTGACATTGATTTTGATTCTCAAACATGGATTTATTGTTACAAATACTGAAACAGAACACACTGAGAGATAACATCTCATTTAATTTTATGCTTAGTCACAGTAGCAATATAATTATGTATACTAAATCACTAAAAAGTTAAACGAGCAAGTTAGAAGAGCTGTCATTTCGTAAATGGTGGGTAAAGTTTGATAAATTCTACCTTCACAAGGAAGGAACGTGGAATACTTTAACTAAAAATAGCATTCTTTTGGTGAAGATTTGAGACTTAAGCACTCTCAAATAATTAAAAAGAATATTACTGCTTGTTTCATTGTGTTTATTTTCAGCCAAATTTAGACTTTTGTATGGATTTCCTAAATTCTCCTGGAATGGATATACTTATTTTTTATGCCTAACAAATCATATCCTGCCTATAAAAGGAAGAGTATATTTTTACCTAAAAATTATTTTTCTGACATTGATGAGGTTCATAAAATAACAATTAACTGGCTATTTATCACCACTATAACAACAAAAACAGCAACACTTTGTTTTAAGAGTAACACATTAAACATAAAGAAGTTTTTACCAAATTATTTGGAGAAAAATAAAACCAATGCTTTGTTAAGTATGCTCTTTAACATAATATTTTGATTTTTTTAGAGATGACAATTGTCTGCTGTACAGATAAACAGATAAGAACTTAAAGAGTTCAAATCTGAATTGCTACAAAATATCTCCATTTCCTATTAATGCAAGAGACAAATACAAACAGAACTAGACCAGAAATTGGAGCCAAATGGATTGAAAGTCCTTCTGAAGTGAAAACATCGAAAGATATTTGGTAATAACACATTTTTTTCTTAGAATTTTTCAAGGATACAGTTTGACAAATGCCAATTCAAAAGAAATCGGGAATTACTGATTTTGTTTCTGTATATGACTAAAAAACTAAGAGTCATATGCAGACAAATAA